CACGAATTAAGGCAGGTCATTAAAAAGGACGATTTAGACGATCACGAAAGTCTCTGCAGCGTCGCCATCGATGAGAAACAAGCGTGCGAAAACATTGCATCGAAGGCAATCGCAGAGCGGAACCAGAATGAATTCGCCAGTTTCTTACTCCATATAAGTGCAGAAATTGAAGTGATTGCAGCGATAGGGCTACACTTGAGCGGATACACTTCCGCTCAAAAAGATTTGGCCACCTACACTGAAAATTATATAAAATTAAAAGTCTTGTAACTCTCATTGGGAACGTCGTAGGAAGATCTGCAGCCCATCATTTTTTTTAAATTTATTATACGAGAGAAACTCCCTTTATCAAAAATATATATGATACATATATTAAAAAATGTAAATAAAAATAATTTAAAAAATACATAATAATATAGTAAAACATATGAAAAATATGACTGAAGAAACTTAAAAAAAACAAGTAACAATAAACTTAAGAGTAAAAATAACAGATGACGAAGAGGCAGCCAATAAATTTGGAGGCAAAACGGGAAGGGATATAGAAATTAGGGAGGACACAACAAACGATAGCAATACTCAAAAAGCTCCAAACGAACAGCTCTCTTGAATGCACCTATGGAAAAAAAATGAATGTCAAGAGGAATAGAGAGAAGGTTAACAATGCTACAGGAGCGATCGATGATCGAGGTATGATTAAGAGTGGTCTTGCGAGGACAGATATAGAATAAATAGAGGCGTGCTCGAAGAATTCGCGATGGGATAGTATAAAAAATCCGGTTAGAAAGGAAAGTAGAGTCAACGAAGTTGTGGCATAATTTATATAAAAACAAAGCAGATTGATATTTGATAAATGAAGAGATCGAGCAAACATTAAAAGATCTCGCCGTTTCCGTATAATCGTGGGAGTACGGATCCATGCGATGATCAAATTTATTAGACACAAAACGCAAAAAACGATGTTAAATTATCTCCAAAGATTTAGTATGTATAGCGCAACGCGGAGACCATGTTATTGATGCAAAGATTAGCTTGGAGCGAACAAATGCATTATATAGTGCAACAAGCGAGCCGGGCTGCCTAAAGGCACGGCACTGTCTAAAAATCAGAGACAACGCACGAGACGCAGAAAGACAGGTTTGATTAATATGAGCCTCGATATTAAGTTTAGGATCGAATAGAACTCCCAAGTCCTTAAACTCCGTTACTCTACCTATGGCAATAGAATCGAAATGATAATTAAATAACATTGGAGGTTTGCATCGATAAAGGTGAGTGTTGCACATTTTTTAATGTTCAGGATCAGACCATTAATCTCACACCACACACGATACAACTCAAGATCAGACTGCAACTCATCTGCATCAATGATGGAACGGATCGGCTTAAACAGCTTTGCGTTATCCGCGTAAAACGAAATCATAGAAGATTTGATGACTGAAAAAACGTCATTAATAAAAATGATGAAGAACAACGGGCCAAGATGAGAGCCCTCTGGTACCCCAGAGACAGCCGTATACGCGGATGATACAAATTGCTGCAGCTTAACAGAATAAGTGCATTCAGTCAAGTAGGAAGAGCACCATGCAAACAACGCACCATGAACCCCATAGAAAGACAGCTTAGACAATAATAATGTATGATTGACACAGTCGAAAGCATTGCTTAGGTCTGTATAGACCACCTGCATATCAACATCAAAGGCGTCTGTCAAAAATTCGACAAACTCAGTAGGTTAGTGACGGTCGAGCAAGATGTTACGAAACCATGTTGGGAGACATTAATGGAGCGGAAGAGAAAAGGTGATAATTTAAGTAATACCAGGTAATCAAACAACTTTGAAAACACATTCAATTTAGCTATGGGGCGGTAGTTGGAAACGAACTTCCTATTGCCACGTTTTTTATAAATCGGAATAGTGAAGGAATGCTTCCAGAAGGAGGGAAAAGTACCTGTACAGAGGGAAGAATTAAATATTATCAGCAGCGGTTGAGCCAGATTTTCTAAACAATTAACGATGAATGTTGGCGGGATACCATCCGGGCCGGCACCGATGGCTTAACCCGAGAGAGGCCCCTGGTCACATCTTTATGTGAAAAAGCTATACCCGAAAAAGATTCCAAGTCGAACGGAGATCCCGGAAGAGCACCATTCAAAGCTGACGCCACAAACACCGAAGAGAATCACTTCGCAAATAAATTTGCAATATCCAATCCGCATGTAGCAGTGCAGTCATCCAATGACATGCTACTCGGGTAATCATTGCACTTTCCTTTGTTGTTTGCAAATTTCCAAAATAAACTAGGATCTGATGTCAACGAGTCCTCTGTCCTCTTGATGTACAATCTATAATCTCGCAAAATCAAACGTTTACACGAGGCTCTTAGCAAGAGAAATTCCTATAAAACTCGCCCACTGCCAGATGACTTATAATGCTGATGTGACCTCTTTTTTCGAAAGATAGCATCACTTCATTCTTCCGACATCCATTTAGGAAAACTTGAGACGATAGATCCAGTCAACGGAGTATTGCAACTAATAATCTCAAATAATTTCATGTAGATTAGATCCAGAAGGGTGTCCGTATTGTGCTGACTATTTGCAAAAAAGCATCCTAATCTATTGCAGAGAGTGTAGAATTTATTGAAGAATAGTCAAAGTAAGCTGTAGATCTCTGTGGCACAGAAGACCGCTGCGACGACGAACGCAGAATATCCACAGAGACAGGTTCATGATATCTGTCAGATGAAGTCAAAGGATCCAGCGGAGAGTTCACCTGCGCACAGTCGCTACAGAACGCAAGATCAAGCGTGTTACTAACGCTATTAGAGAATACAACTAACTGGTGACATTAAAGTGTACTCATGCAACTCTCAAGACGACAGGCAGACGAGCGAATCACACGATCAACATGAGCACCATCAGCACAGAGCCACCCATCATTATCCGACCAGAACCAGCGAGGGAGGTTAAAGTCACCAACCACTAGCAACGTCGAAGCTGGGTACAACAGTGAAACCTCCTCCATTAATGCATAAAAGCCATCAAGTGAAGTTGAAAAGATGGACGGCGTTAGTGATGAAATTGGTGGCAGATAGGCAACAGGAAGAATGAAGGTGAAATCGTAGTCATATCTAAGAATCATGTGCTGCAAAAGAGAGACAATCTGCTTCGAGTAAATGCCACTAATATCACCCAAATCACAATAATCGCTTACCTGGTGTATTACGTCGGTTGACGCAACATAATTCTCAGGTACGGTAGATTGAAGCCTGACCTTACCTCACGTTAGACAATATGGTTTGGCTTCGCGTTATTCTACCACGAACGAGGTAATAGAATAAAGTAGGGGGCCTAGCTAAATATGCACGTGACCACACGCTAGGCAATCAAGTGTAACTATTATAAATTTCCGGACGAGAAAGCTGAAGTAAGGAATGGAAGGAAGGGAGAAATTAAATTATAGTGTATTTTCTTTTACTCACTTTTATTTGCAAAGCTTAATGCGCTTCAGCTAACCTCTGGCTTCCATACACACTAATTACTTAACTTGGGCGAGGTGACGAAGGACGAAGAACAGTGAACGAATATAAAATTATCTGTTTAACTGCTTGCTAATAAGCGGGATCTCCCTTTTGTAACCTTTGGCGAGAGAGTTTCCAACTTTAAAATTTTAAGCATCCTGGGAAGAGCCAATTCACCTTATATTCAAGCCTGATTGGCTGAAAAATGCCTACAGTCTTCTAGGCGTAGCTACGTTTTGGACCCTCATTGGTCGAGACGAAGTTTCCCGAAATGTGCAAGGGTGGCCTTCTTCAAAGGTTCGGGCCACCTCTCCAGAGACGGCAGGCCATGTGCTATTTTGATCTTATTTGTGTTTTATTTTTTTAAACTATTTGTATGTATGGCAGACAAATTTTTCCATCCATAAATGTTAAATAATTAATAATAAACTAAATTAATGATAAACTAAATTAATGAACAAAAGCTTACGGTTACATTCACTTCTTATAAAAAACTTCTTATAAAGTCTTACTTTCTTTTTAACATTAATTAATTATTGAAAATTATCAAAAATAAGGTGAAAATTAAAGTCAAATTTCATGAACGCAACGGTCAATTTTTGTTCCAAATCTTCTTATCAGGTAATGTAAAATAAAGAGGCGTAATTAGATAAAAAAGGAAGTCTGAATTTCTTATCACTAATTATTGATAATATGGAGTATAAAGAAAAAATTATTAGAGTAATAAACAAGAAACTGATTTTCGTTTTGAAGTAATGAAACAGTTTTTTGCCGATTACTCGAGAACTACTTAAGATAATTTCCGCAAATTTTCGACTGACCAGTGAAACAACGCGCATTTTCTTGTAAAATCCGAATTATAGAAAATAGGAAAAGTTAATTAAAATTAAAAAACACAAAAAAACAGGATGCACTTGCATCATACTTTCTATTACTTTTCCGAGATCAACATGCTTTTCGTATTTAGTAGGCGGCGATTTTAAGAAGTACAGTCGTAAAACTATCCTGTATATATTTAGGCTAAAAGGCCGTATTTATTTGAGAACTACCAGATGTAAGGAAACTGTCAGAAGTGTACATTTTTTTAGCCATATGCGGCCCTCAATTTTCGTGAGAGGGAAAAATACGTACAGCTGATATACAAAAAAGAATAAATTAAATAATAGTTAAAAATCTAGAGATATATTGCTAACCGCCGTCATAGGTATCTCTTATCGCTTTCAATGACCATCGCGCGCCTGCATCCTTTTCCTCGGTGCGCATCCGAATTTTTGACCGGTTTCTCTCTTTCTCTCTTTCACGTTCGCGCTGGCTATTACTGCGGTTACTCATTATTATGTGCATATAATTTAATAAATATTTATTCAATACAATATATACATCCAGAAACTAACTCAAAATGTTATACATAGATTCAATAAATTTGATGCAGTGGTCCTATAAATAATTTATCGTGAATAAAATTCTAATACTTACGTGATCTAATAGTTGCCTCACAAGGCCGTTCCATTGATGGGTTTGGGAATCAAGACGACCATATTCGTTATGAGGAGCAAAATAAAATTCACATTTAATCTTTAGATATTCTTCGATTTTACTAATCAAATCTATACAGTAACCATGATATCTTTTATCTTCGATTTGTCGACCTTCTAAATCGCTATCTGCTTCCATAACGTAGGGAGATCCCTATTAAGTATTAATGATATGATATGTATAATATAAGTTTTTTTTAATATCTTTTGTTATGTAATAATTTCCGGCATATAATTGCCATTTAATATTTGCCATGTTCAAAGCTTATACAGTGCCGGTCAGCCACTTTTACCCCCCCACGGGCAAAATCAGTCTAACTTCAAAGTTTTATATCTCTGGTAGAAATTAACGTACAGAGACGCGTGTGGGTGCGTTTGAAAGGTCTTTCGGAGAGCTTTCAAATGATATGACTCACGGTTGCCATCGATTGTTTTTTTAAATTTTGCAACAATTATGCAAAATTAAAAATTCTGAAATTTTTTTATTTAAAAATTTTTTTTTTCGGTTTAAATTATTTTTCAAGGTCGAAAAAAAAAAGATTTTTTTTTATGTAATTTTCGATACTTGTTATATAGTATTATTGAATGGGTGGAAAAAAATTTTTTTTGTGGTTTCTCATCTTTTTAGCGTACCGACTGTGAGAAAAAAAAATTGAAAAAAACCGAAAAAAAAAAAATTTTTCGAAAAACCGAAAAAAAAATTATTGCAGTATTCTACGTGAAAAAACAAACATTTTTTCTCCTATAAAATTTTTTTCGATTGTTACAATTTGACGGAGATAAAAAATGTTGAAAAAAACTGTCACTTCCTGGAAAAAATGCCCGTGCGCTCGTCATATTTGACGAAAATAAATTTTTGATGAGTGATTCAGATAGGGCTTGGTAATAGCTAAAAAATGGTGTACTTCAAATTTTCGTACGATTTTTTTTCCAAAATTGGCTAATTGTCAAAAATAATAAAAAAATTTCAGAATTTTTAATTTTGCATAATTGTTGCAAAATTTAAAAAAACAATCGATGGCAACCGTGAGTCATATCATTTGAAAGCCCTCCGAAAGAACTTTCAAACGCACCCACGCGCATCTCTGTACGTTAATTTCTACCAGAGATATAAAACTTTGAAGTTAGACTGATTTTGCCCGTGGGGGGGTAAAAGTGGCTGACCGGCACTGTATCTCTAAAAAGTATTAGAGTGAGGAGTTTCGAGCGATTAAAATCTAAGATACTCAGTATATCTATCGTTTGAAATTTCTTTGATCAAACAAAGAAAATAGGAGGAAAGAAAAAAGTAAATTGTTACGTATTCACTAAGTTTACAGTGACCATTGTACTATTTCGTGTGTTCCACTGCAAATTGTTTGCGAAAGAATACAATAGAAAGGGTGAGGAGCCATGCAGAAATGTTAATTACAGTTGGAATTACACTGCTTGATTAAAAAAAAGAGAGAAAGAGAAGTCTGACTACCAATGAAGTAGAATCATTTATTTAGAGATTTAATCACTTAGAAATTTATTTTATAATAATAATTTTTCAAATTCTTACAAGTAAGAAAAAAAATTACTTTTTTAATATAATATTAGATAATTGTTCAGGCCGCTTGGCCTGACTGTTGGTTTTGTTATCTTTTTCCTTTTTTTTGGAATATATAAGGAGAGAGTTATGTGCCTATTCCGTAGCAAAGAAATAGTACGTGGGAGTAAAATAGTTTTTGAATACAAATCAAAAGAAAGTATTGAATTAAAAGAATATTGTACATTCTAGGCCACTTAAGATATAATAACAGTCCACGTGGTCGCAATATTTTGTAAGTATTTTTTAGGTCAGTAGCTTACGCCCCAATAGCTTTTGACAAACTTGCAAGAGTGGTCAGCCTCCGTGCGCCTTGGGCTGGTCTCTGCTAATTTTTCTGGGTTCTTTCTCGGTAAAGAAAGCCGGCGCTGACTTTCACAGGCCGAAGTTCGCGCTGGTTGGGGGAGGTTGATACAAAGAATCGGACACTTTAATTCAATTATATTACATATGGCGATCTCATTTATTGACGCCATTTCACTAATATCGCTACAAGATTAACTTCGCCGCAGCGAGCGCGCTCGCTCAGCCTTTCCGCGACCAGAGTTCGCGGGATCACGCGAGCGAGATCGCTCAGCGTGCCCGACAAAAAATCAAAATACGCTAATGTCCGTAATCGAGCGAGAGCTGGCGTAAGAGAGATAAACAGGCTTTGGATCCACCGGATGCCGACGGTCCGTCGACAGACAGGCGACGCCGGCGAAAGCGTAGGCCCGCTGGAAACGGCGCCCTGGCGACGACCGAGGTTGCTGCAGGAAGGGCCGCGACACGGCCTTTGCCCCGTGGACGGCGAATGGTCGCTGCTTGTCCGGGCTCGGCTTTGAACTGCTGGCTTCCTCGCAAGTGTTGCAGTCGCACCGCTGGCAGTCGTTCCTTTCCGGCCGAAATATCGTCTCGTCCAGTCTTCTCTTTAGGCGGTCCAAATTACTCGAGAGCTCGCGCCTAACTGCCCTTCCTCTCTCTTAATTTCTAAGCCTCGCGCCGCCGCGCTCCCACTTCTCTCGCCATCAAAAATCAGTCAAAATCTCTCTCTCTCTCTCGCTCTTCTCGCTCTCTCTCGCTCTTCTCGCTCTCACTCGCACTCACGGCGACACCTCGCCGATTGTCGCGCTCCTCTCTCCAGATCCTGCAACGACACAAGTATGTAGTCGCTATATAGCGTACACTTGGTCGCTGCGTTCACGCGAGGAGAGTGCCGCATACAGGGCCAGCGAGCATCGCTATAACCCTGTCACAGCCCCCCGCTAAGCCGCGGAAGCCGCAGGCACCCGTGGGCTACCCAACGCAACCCTCCTCGCTCGAACACAGGACCAGCGAGAAAACGACTTAAAACTATATTACAAAATCATAAAAACTTCAATAATTCAGCTCGCCAAAACCTTAAAAATCAATAAAAATAAAAATAAATAAACAAACAGAAATAAACATACCATACACAAAACGAAATAGAAAATAAAATAAAATAAAACAAAGCAATATAAATCCCTTTTAAAGTGAACAGATTTGGTACCTCAGCCTTCTCATGCTTTATCTGGGGCTGTGCCCTTGCCAATCGTCCTGGCAGCGAGCTCACATGCCTGGCGTTGGATCCTGGTCACTTCTTCCCGTTGTTCTGGCGTTAAACGTGCTAACTCTAACAATATTGCTGCTACCGGGTCGCGGCTCACACCTTCCCCCGCTACAATCTGTCGCTGCGAATGCATTACTTCGAGCTGACTCTGGTCTGCGATTTGAGGCTGTGACCGCGATCTCGCTACCTCGGCCTCCGCAGCCCTCGCCTGCTGGTTTTCCCTACGGCGACGAACCTTCACCCCCGCTCTTGGTGCTGGTATGCGTGTCCCATCGGGGAACACGCGATACCTATCCCTTCCACTACCTATGTTATACGGTTTAGCTGGTATCTATCAGCAGCTTGATGCGATAACGTCACATCAGCCCCGCTTTCACCTAACTGTCGCGTCGATTCCGATTCAACAGCCTCAGACAACACCGCCAACCGCATATCCACATTTTCCGCCTCAACATCCATAGCCACCGGTGTCTCCTGCATCGCAAGCACCGAATCTAGCGAACTCGCCATGATCGGTGGCTCTGCGGCAGGTAGAGCACGCCGCGTTTCCCGCTGCTGCTCCTCTCGCGCCTCCCCAAGGTCGACCTGAACCATTCTATTGTCTTGTGCTATCAGAGCAGCACCTGCAAACGACGGCTCGTAGTCATTGAAGTTCGGCGTTTTCCGGTTCTTACGGCGTCTTCTCGACGTCCCATATCTACCCGCGTCTTCCTCTTCTCGAAGTTCCCTTAGGTATTCCGGTGGAACTCCATCCGTGCTCGCGCGCCACGTAGCGCTTACCGGCGGTAACCTACGAGGTCGCGGACGCTCCGATGCAGATGATGGATCCGGTGCGCTACAGCGCAAAGGACGCTCCGGCAGCAGATCCTCCGGCCTAATCAATTCATTCACGATCGGGCCAAACATCCCAATCAATTCCTGCCTTCGCTCCGGAGTCCGCACACCTCGACGAAGCTCAGCTATCAACAACGGTGAGACAGCCCTGCTGTTGTCCCACTCGTCCGACAAGCTTGCCCACGAAGTGGATGGTTGCGCCTCCACCGGCAGCCAACTCCCAGTAGGCTCAGCCATCGCCACCTGATTCTCGAATTCTCGTCTCGGTGACGGTTTTACGGCGCCCACCGGCAAATCGTGCGGCCATTCGGCGACCCTTGCCCTCGCTTCAGCGGCTGCAGCAGCAGCGACAACCACCGCGCTGCGACCAGATGGGCGAGTAGCAACACGAAGCATACCTCGCTCCGTGCGCCTCTCAAATGGTCTCGCTACCGCTACCTCTAAGACCCTGTCCGCGATTACCTCGCCTCCGGCGCCCCTCTCGGGAACAGAACCAGCGTTATCGCCTTGGTTCTGCCCCGTAGCCGCGCCCGCATCACCAAGGTCACACGCGCCCCGCGGTACGATAGACAGCTCTAACGCCGATTGCCCCTGCTGGCTTTCCTCCACCACACCTGGCATCTCGGCGTACTCGCCAGAGAAGCCTAGCGTTTCCTCCAGCATAACTACTTCTCCTGTAATGAACCATGCATGTATTAGCCTTGCTACCTCATCTGACATCCAGTTCGTTGACCAGATAATCACGGTTCTGTCTCCTCCTAACTCGTCTGAAAAAATAAAACAAATAAAATAAACAATACCAACATCACACTCACACAAATATCACACAACAAACAAATCACTCTCGGCTGTTACCTTTCCTCGTACCTCGAGGAAGCACGTATCTTTTGAGCTCAGATACATGAGCCATTGGTACGTGCTTGTTGTTATTCGTGGTCAACATATAAATTCCCGGAGAAACCACTCGCAAAATCTTATGCGGACCGGTATATCGCGGATCCAGTTTTGCGTTTATCCCCGCACTCGCGCTTGACAGAGTGTGTGCTCGCCTCAAGACTAGATCGCCGACCGAAAACTCTACGTCTCGACGTTTTCTCTCATAATGTTTCTTCTGACGGTTTTGTGCTTCTTCAATATATTTAATCACAAGATCGCGTAACGCATCAAGTTTCGCCATACG